GGCGAAATCCTCAGCGTGGATCCCGAGCTCAATCAGCGAGTGTAACCTGTTATGAAATTTTCTCACATTTACTCTTTATATTTTATTGTTCTACACTATTGTACCAAACATTTCTGTGCCGCGGACTGGACATTCTTTGACTGATTTTTGATTAATTTGGTTCGGATTTGATAAAGTCATAAGGAATAACTTACTACGATTGAGTTCGATGTTGGCTGGATGTCCTCCAGAGTGAGTATTACGCCTCTTTAAATCCGCAATGAATCCCGCTGGAGACAGCTATTGTATGAATTTCCTCCCTTTATTTGGTATCTTTTCCGACCAAAATATAGTGCAACGAACGTAAGTTAGTTGGGCTTGTGAACGGTAAGCTGATGTCTTTGGAACTGGTGCGTAGCTTTCTCTCTGCTTTGGTCACTCACACTTTACGACAAATCCTCGCGTGCAACGCTTGCGTTTCATTGTTATATTGTGTCAAAAATTTCATTGATGTTGCTTGGTTTGTCTTTGGTTGAGTTTGAATGCATCTGGATCAAATTTATTCAATCTCTTACCGAAAACGCCCACTTGTATCCTGAGATATGACAAGCCTGTTATTGCTAAGATTCATATGTAGTAAAAAATCCAACAAATATGAGTATTCTGAAAGTTAAACATTGTAGCGACGGTGGGATTAAATTTACTTTTGGAAGAGCTATTCTGCAACACTTGTTGTTTGCATTGATAAAAATACTTGGTGTTCTAGTTTATGTGCCTTATTTTCGTATAGTATAATAGTAGTATACTGGAGTATACATGCCCATCCATATTCGATGGGCAGGTTTAACAGATAGACTAAGCATCAACGAACTCTTCAAACATGGTTTCTGCACCTTGGATTTTCCAGTCAAGTTATTTTGCTTTCTATTTCAGAATATTCATTGTATACCAGGTGATCTTGCAATGCTCGAGCACCGCTTTGCAACTGCGCATTTTTGAGGCCAGCTAGAACGGTGATGAAAATTTGGTGTACAAATTGCCCAGCTCAAAGACCAATTCACCGCTTTCCTCTTGTTTTTATGATTTTTCCATACCAGGTATCTTTTGCTCGTTTCAAGGTGGCCGTTTCTTTCTTGCTGACAGCTTGCCCCAGAAAGCTGTCTTCAAGGTACACGATCTCTAATATTCTGGTACTCCTTTTTATTTATAAATTATCAGTGTCCAACGAGAAGCACACACATGGGTAACGGCTTAGCTGAGATCGAAATGTCATTGCGCAAGGCGCCTCACAACACTAGTTTGTAGTGTAATCATCATTATCCTGATCGAGAGTGCCAAATCATACTAAAAAAACCATGGCACCCCGCTGAAACTTTGAAACAAAGAATTATTTTGGGAAAGATACAGGTAAAACGCTTTGAGACGAACGATGATAATTATCTATAAAGTGGTTTGGTGATTGGACTGTTGGTCAAGCGCGGCAGTTAGATTAGGAAGAGACAAAAATTTTCAGCTAATCTGGCGACTGAGAATTGACCATCACGTTCGTTTCAACATTATTCTCGCCACCAGTATGATTGTCAGCTTGACTATCCCATCATCTTCAGCGGTAGTGGCAGTACAGGCCGCAGTAACAGGAGTAAGGCTATCACTTTCAAACAATACGCAGGTGACATAAGTGTATATTAATTCTATTTGCGAATGATCCCAGCATTGAACGCTTCCCATCTTCTTCAGGCGTGCAAAACACAAGGAGCCGCAAGAAGAAAAGGATGTATTTCTAAGACCATCGTGCTTCATATTACGCATATACGTCCTTTCTGTCCAAGACAACGAGGGCACTACTAAAATAAAGTTATCTCTGCGTGCACAGGTTAGCACTTTTCGTATTTCTTCTCTCCTGGATAGTAGTCTCTATAGAGGGTTCTCTTTTTCTCTGTCGGTATATGTGCCAAAAATCGATCCTGATACTCGGTCGTCTCCGGCAATTCGGAAAGGTGCTTTCTCCGATATTGGTCACACATCTCATACTGCTCTAGTGTACGCTCCGACAGACTATATAGGAAATTTGGATCGCGCACACGTCGGAGATAAATTATAACACATTTGAGAAACGTCATGTCACTCATTATGGATGTGCTGAGAATCATTTGGTTTACGACTTTGTAGTATTTCTCTTCCAAAGTTTTGCTTCCGATGTACAACAACCCGGCTTATCGCAGAAGGACTCTCGGACCTAATTTGCTGATCAGCTGAACGGACTAGAACGGACTAGAACTCAGGTTTCGTATACATTCCCTCGAATGAACCTTGTATATCTCATAACTTGCAATCAGTCTACTCGTGGTTGTAAATAATTCAGTCGGCAGAAATTCACTGGCACATTGTTATCCGTATAATCCCGAAAAAGTCGAATTACTTACAATGCTAGTTACGTTATTCCCTTGTATGCGTAGACAGCATGCATGCATGCATAGCCGTCTGGATCTGGCTTTAAATATTTACGTGTGAGGCAAACAGTAGGTCGTATTTCACGCATAAAGGATGGTCAGACTCGGAGCACAGATACATTGGTGTGCTTGGATGAATGGGAGCGGTCAAGTGGTGTTCACACATGCGTGCGTTCTCAAGTTCATACTTCCAAATGCCATCATGACTCCGTGCTGTCCAAGTGAAGAGTAGTGTCAGGACAGGTCAGCTCATCTACGAGATCGTTTACTCCGTAGACCACTGGTGGAGTCCGATAATACTCAAAACCCTCTAATTGAAACAGCATTCATTCAAAGTCTACATTGACGCACTTCAAACAATATCCAGTTGTTTCTGGAGAATGAGCACGACGTAAATCTATTAGAGTAGTGTGCAACAGGATATGCAACCAGGAGACCTATTATTAGGCTGATTAATTTCCTCTGTGTGCTAGTCTTTCCGGTACTGGTCAGGTCACGAATGGTAGGAACGTATGAAACACATTCAAATCGAATCTATCGTTTACTTACAACACACTTTCAATGGCTTTCGTACGCGGTGACGCCTAATGTACCACGATCGTCAAGGGAAACGCTGATCAACTGCTTGACATGCGATCTGACGTGAATGAAGGAACTCCACGTAACATTAAGGATTCAGCGTTATGTGGGATTTAACTATTTCAGGTGGACGTCATCTTTATCAAAGACCAAACCGAGTTCGGTATGATATCTAACAAATCTTGTAGATGACTCGAATTCTCTACTTTCTCTGCGGGGAGTTGAATACCTTAGTCCCGACCCTCGATGCCATTGGCTTCCACCCTAGTAAATTATAGGTGCATTTCCTGTCACCCCGGGTTTCAAGTCAAGCGATTTGGTCCAAATGAGGTATCAGGTCTACAATTCCTCTTAGCACGGAAGTAGAAAGATTTGAACCTTTCTCTGAGACAGATGCACCACGAATGACTCGCAAATTTTAGTGCACATTATCGATCTTCCAGCTGAGTCTCACCCGCACTTACTGAACTGACCTCAGAGCTCCTGAATAATGTTAATTAATGGTAGCGGCGAAAACGTTCATTACTTTTACTAATGATGATTCGCGACACATTTAGTGGCGGATTATGCTAAAACGGCAAATGTGAGAACTGACCTCAGAGCTCCTGAATAATGTCGGTTAATGGTAGCGGCGAAAACGTTCATTACTTTTACTAATGATGATTCGCGACACATTTAGTGGCGGATTATGCTAAAACGTGATGCAAATGTGATAGTTTCGACAGGCGGTTAGCTAAAAAAAGTGTGCATATGACACTCCAAGGCACTGAACCTTCAGAACAAAACCAAACCTATCACTTACAGTTGGCTAACAAAATATCCCCAGAGAATCCGTTTTACGAAAGTCGACAGTGATGACTACAAATTCTCAACCTAGTTTGTATCTGATTATTCTATTATCGAAGACCTTGACTGCATCAAACATATTCGTGTCTAATTTCTTCGCCCAATTTACAACCATCCAAAGTGGATATATTTAGTAAAATCTGTGATCCCTGTACGCATTAGGCAACTGATGACATAGTTATGATTTGCAAACTTTTGTCTCCTTCCCCATATATTACCATCAGGATAGACCATTTCTTATAAGGAACCGCTTTTGCTTGACATCCTAATATTATCATTACAGTTTAATCACCCTGCAGCATGTTTTCTATTCTAGGAGTGTTACTGATCAGACTCTCTCAGGAAGTATTAATGGTCATTTCAATTCCAGTAGTAAGTATCTCTCCCACCGAAAAATGCAGGACCTTCTTGTCATCCTGCATTGGAATACGCTAGCATGAACCACAAGAAACGTCTTATAAAGGATCGTTTACCCTGACTTGCAATGCATTTCGTTAAATGCTCTTTTGCTTGAAAGATTTCATAACACCGCGCCCCGTCTGCATACGCCTGAGTGAAACCAAAATAACAAAATAGACGCATTTTTATAAAGGAAACTACCCTTCGACAGCCCATGACCGGTCTCGCCCTTCTTGAGGATCATCAGGTAGGCGCAGTCCCCGAGTTCCCGTCAACCTTATGATCTACTTGAACCCAAATTGCACTGTTTTCGAGAAATACACTCATTTGCAAATCAATTTGGTTTTCACGAGAGACTCAACTGAATCTCTCGTTTATGAATATCGTGCCAACTGAAACATGAGGCGGCCTGTGTGCGGCACCTTCAGTTGTAGAATAGCATGAACGAGTGATTCAGTTGAGTCTCTCGTGAAACCCGAATTGATCTGTCAATAACTGTATTTCTCGAAAATAGATGCATGTCGTCTGTCCATGAATAGTCTACTGATCCCTGAGTTTGGAAACGGAAGTAAGTAGGCAGACAAATGACGACTGTTTTGTCACTGGTTTCGGGCATCCTTGAGTGTGAGTTCAATGAATAGCTGATGGATTTTACTAGTACAAATCTCAGTTCCCTTTCAGCTTTGGAATCATTTAATAAGTATCTCAGAGGATAAGTAATTTGTCAAACCCCGGAAACTTAGTTCCATGTCTCCTGCGGAGCCAGTCAGATTTCGTGAACGCGTGATGTGAGTGAGTTCCGTGAGTGGATGATGAGTGGTGCTATATCGCGTCTAAGTGCAGGTTACTCACAATGTTGGTAATCCGCCTGTGGCCGATAGACAGTGTTCAAACTACTAATCAGAAGGCTGCGAGTTTGAAGCGTCCTTATGTTTTGTGAGTTTCGCACTGTTAATGATTCCCATTGAGGATTAAACAACCGTGTTTCTCGGCTTTTCAGCATAGCTTAGCTTCACCCATGGAAGAAATCTGAATGGAAAATTGTGGAATTTAGTAGCTTTCAGCAAAGCTGCTGCCTGTGGGAAGGCAGCGAAACATGCAGGGTTGAAACATATTTGGCTGCATTCATGGCTTTCTGCCTCAAAATATCATCCAAAATGACCTAATATTTTTCACTACAGGCTTTGGTCAGATTAAAGACTTCATGACCGTTGCGTTCCAGTGATTTTTCGAGATCAAATTCAAAGGTAGGTCGAACAAAGCAGTCATTTCATGCGCGACTCATTATCGTCGATCATCCTAACCATGCTGTACTGGTTCCTCATCATGAGTTGTTGGACAGGAACGCCATAAATGGACAAATCACGAGCATCCATTCCCCACTGCAGCACTTGCTACCCCTATTACAAATCGAGAAAAATATCATGCACCACAACATTTCCACATACGTAGTTCATTCTCAGTATTGTCATTCCCTTGAGATTTTTTTGAAAGTTACCAGTCGGTCTCCTAAAGAGAACAGCTTCGTTGAAGAATTTTCAGGAGAACATTTTGCCTTAGTTAAAACCCGTGTGTAAAATGGTGATTTGATGTGGCACGGACTCTCGAAGTCAAGTAAAATCGAGGGAGAAAATATTGATTCGTATTGTCTGTAGGTTTAGGGACGTACACTTCAGTGTCGATAAGGTATTCCCCATTATAGGGATATTACTTTCGTTTTTATCATCTATGGGCTCCGAAGATCTTTTTGTGTTTTCCTTCGCTGCATCTCTAATCGCTTATCAGCCGTCATTTTTGGAATAAAGAATCGTCACTTTTTCACGAAGGCCTTCAGTAAATTCAGGCCTATGACAGCAAAAATTGCCTCATCATTTGGCCTTTTTCTGCATTTTCCTTCAGAAAAGTGGATTGGACCTGGCACACAACACCCGTTATGTAGGGTGGTGACGCAGAGGGAACACAATGACTGTCAAACACAAGTGGTGTAAAGAACTTAACTTTTGGAAAGTGGTGTGTATTGTTTCAGTATGTTCGTGGAGTGTGCTGGCACATTGGAAGACTTTGATTGTCCGTGGACCTGTCGAGTAATGTCCTTGAATACGTGCACATGTGTCAGCCACATATTTATTGTACGTAATCTGAAAACACCGGGATATCACGCAGGGTCATTCCCAGTTGACAGTTGCACAAAAGCAAACTGACTGATGTGGGCCAAGGCCGTACGCATGGCACGTGATACAGCTGGTCAAACCAAGCAGTGTTTGATAATCTTCCTAACAAAGTGGAGCGGTTAAAGTAGACGTAACAATCCAACGAGATTCTGCGTGCGAAAATATCACTATCTGCCTAATACGAATTTTGTGGTCCCAGATTATTTCCTGACCACTCCCTCCTTCCGTGTGATTCCCGCGGGACAGCTGGGTACCGACAGCCGTAAAACGCACAACCAATTAAAACTGAAATTAAGCGGCCTGAAACGAATAGCGCAAATTGTTTCAAGATTCAATGTTACAGTGATATTCTTTGATTTCTGCTTGATTTGCTAGCTACCCGAGGTCGTAGGGGTTCCAGTGCTCTTATTGGCCATAAGATCTACATTAATCAAAGTTCTACTGAGAGCAGCGTTAAACTGATAGCAACCGGTCAGGCAGGCCGTTGGTTAAGACGCGAAATGACAGGCCAGAAAGTCCACGGTTAAAATCCGACCTCAACATCTTGACTGCCCATGTTTAGGCTTGGGCAACCTGTTGGGATCTCAGTCTTCGGGCCCAGTTCAAGTAGCGTGGCAGCCAGTTGTAAGTGTGCTGAAAGTGTGTTGTAAGTAAACGATTGATTAGTGACCTGACCAGTACCGGAAAGTCCAGCACACAGGGGAAATTAATCAGCCTAATAATAGGTCTCCTGGTGTCACTTTCTGTTGCACACTACTCAAATGGATTTTCGTCGTGTTCATTCTCCAGAAACAACTGGATATTGTTTGAAGCTAATGGCATCGAGAGTCGGGACTAAGGTATTCAACTCCCCACAGAGAAAATA